CCCCTCTGTCCAGTGCTGCTTCTGGTGGCCGGCTCTCCCCTCCTCCTCCTCCTCCTCCTCTTCCCCTCCCGGCTCCCCTCCTCCCCTAGCTACGCCTCTGCCGGGAGCCGGAACATCGGGCTGCAGGTTATGCCCAGGCCGGCCAAAGGCTTGGCGGACCCGGTGCCACATGGGCACTCTGGGAGCGCAGAACACCCTGGCAACCACTCCGAGGCCTGGTAGTTCTTTCCTGCTGCCCGGTACCGGGCCGCGGAACCATGGTTGGGAAACACTGGTTTATAGCCACCAGTTCTGGCTTTCAATGTCCTGTGCTGTTGTTTTTCTCCAATTTGCCCCAAATGTCTTCTAAATGCCCAGTAAGCGGTGGAAGGGTAAGTAATGTTGCTAGGCAATATTGACCTCCATTGTCCTGCAAATTCAGCACTGGTCAGGTTCCCAAGGGTGCCTGGACTGGAGAAAGCTTCAGAGGGGTAGCCGAGTTAGTCTGTAACTGGAAAAACTTTAAAAACAACAAATACTCTAGTAGCACATTAAAGACTAACAAAATATGTAGATGGTATCTTGAGCTTTCGTGGGCACAGACCACTTCCTCAGATGATCCTGATTTCATCTGAAAAAGTGGGCTGTGCCCACGAAAGCTCAAGATACCATCTACATATTTTGTTAGTCTGGTAGCACATTAAAGACTATTTGTTGTTTTGGACTAGAGATGTTCAACCTGTAGTTACCATTAGCCTTGCTTTCAGCATTGCTTGTTTGAGGAAGAGGCTGGGAATGATGCAACACACTTCTAAGACCAGTACAATTTCTTCTGTTTGACAATTTGTACATTTTACTATGTAGTTATATCAACTATAAAATTAGATTTAAATTCAGTAATATTTTAAAAGACAATTGCAGAGTTAAGACTCTATATTGACAAATTAGAGCTTTTAATCTCTATGCATGCCCCCAAAAGAGTTGGATGTATCCAGTTTGATATCACTGCTCAGATGTTCATGCTCTTCAGGTTGCAGTTCACACATCCCCAGGAGATCTTAAGGCTTACTAGTATTGCATGAAGCAATTTTGTTATGCTATATAGTGGAAGAAGAAAGCAGCTATTTATTGTCTCTATGTAGATACTTCATATGGGCCTGAATACACTCAATCTAATTGGAGATCCATGAGCCTTCAGGCAGTTAAACTACAGGATAAATGTGCTCTTAGAATAGTATCTGCCTCAATTCAGAGGACCCGGACACCTGTAGTCGAATCTGGCTAGTAAATCGTAAATATTGGAGAGAAAATAGTATAGTTCCAATCCACATAGCAGAAATATGACAAATTTTTGAATTTATTGGATGAGCTAAGTATGAGTGCAGATAGCATAAATTGAAAACTCAAATTACATGTAATCATTTTCATTAAATATTTTGTTAAAATGCAATAGACCACAGGAAAAACATCTGAAAATGGAGGTCTAAATTTTGCATACTTCTCAATTGAAGTTAACTTAACAGTACTAAATCTACAATTGGAATAATGGAGATGTCAAAAATTTGCATTTAAAGTGTTTTCAGCTCTTCATTGCTATTGTGGCAAAGCTGCAGCTGTGCCCTGTGGGTCTTGCACTTCTACGCAGTTATTGTATGCCTTAGAGCAAGGCTACTCAACACGCGGCCCGTGGGCTGCATGCGGCCCACTGCCCATTTGCGGCCCATGGTGTAGTTTGGGTTTACATGGGGCTCAACATGTGGCCTGCGGGTGGGAGCCAAAGCAAAAAACTAGTCGGTATAATGGTCTTCTGTTGATAAGCTTTTTAGTAGTTAAATTCCTGGATTGTCCTTGCTCATTAAGGATATGTCTACACTAGCCACCCTAGTTCGAACTAGAGTGGCTAATGTTGTCATTCGAACTTGCAAATGAAGTCTGGGATTAAAATATCCCGGGCTTTATTTGCATGTTCCCAGGCGCCGCTATTTTTAAATGCCCGGTAGTTCGGACTCCCTGCCCGTGGCTACACGCAGCACGGGCTAGATAGTTCAAATTAGGGGCTTTAGTTCAAACTATCGTTAATCCTCCTGCAATGAGGAACAACAGCAGTCCGAATTAGGAGCTTTAGTTCGAACTATCTAGCCCGTGCTGCGTGTAGCCATGGGCAGGGAGTCCGAACTACCGGGCATTAAAAAATGGCGGCTCCTGGGAACATGCAAATAAAGCCCGGGATATTTTAAACCCGGGCTTCATTTGCAATTCAAATGACTACATTAGCTACCCTAGTTTGAACTAGGGTGGCTAGTGTAGACCTACCCTAAAAGTGTTGTCATGTGAGTGTAAATTGAGTAAATATTGCATTTTATTAGTATCAGCAGAACTGACTTAAATGGGGTCTGTGTTGCGTAGTCTTGCCTTAATCTTTGTATTCATGCCTATAAATGTTGAAAGAAGCTATTTACATATATTTGCATGTATATGCAACCACACTTAAGTTGCAGCCCTTGGAATGTACTGTGAATATCATTGTGGCCTCTGGGCCTTCCAAAGTTGAGTAGCCCTGCTTTAGAGGCTCACTGTGAACCTCCACCCACCTCTTACTTTTTCTAGAAGCCAGGGTCACAGCTTACTGTACCATCCTCATCATGGGCAAAGAAACTCCGTTAGTAGTATGAGGAGGGTTGGGGGGAATCCCTGTCCTCCACAGGCAAGCGCCCTATCCCCTAGGCCACACGGGAACCCGCCCCACCACCTCTACTTTCAGGGTGCCCCTTATCCCTCCTGCCCCGAGGCCTCCCGGCTTTTGGCCGTCCCGCCCCGACGTAGGGGAGGCGGGACTTCAACCCATTACCCTGTATTCTGGGTTCTGGTCCAGGGACCTTAGGTAGCAGCAATTGACAGAGTATTTCCCCAGCCTCACTTCAGCAACCTTTTCCCTGGGTCATGTCACCAAACATTCCCGTAATACCTTCTCCCTGGTATCTAAGCAAATCTTTCCTACTACAACACACACTCCTTTCTGCAGTCTCCAGCAACACACTTCCTCCTCTCAGTCCTTCACTTTTCTTCTTTCCCCTTTTACTTCAGGGAAAACCTTTTAAAGTAGTCCAGTAGGCCTTAATTGGCTGCAGGTACCTGATTAGTGTACTGCTTCAGGTACCTGCCTTCCTTGATTATGTGGCAGAAGGCTCTGGTAGTTTATTCAGGAAACAGAAAACCAATCACCCCTTCACCGGACTATTGTAGCCAGCTGTCCTGGGTTTGTTGCACTTTTTAAATTCTGTGTAATAGCTGTCTCAGTGTAACCATTAATCATTTTTAGAGCTGTAAAATACATCGCAAATACCTACAGATATTGACAGATGTAATCACTTGTTTTGAGAGTTGAAGCAACATTTAGGCTTCTGCATATTGATTGTGCTTTGGGAAATGCTCTGACTTCTGTTCCAGGATTCAATTCTTAGCGTCACAAACAAAAGAGTGCTGATATTTCACATTGTAACGAATTAATATACATCATGATAAAACTAACCTATTCTCTTTCTCTTCTCCCTCCTCCCCCCTCCCCCCCCCCCCCCCAAAAAAAACCTAAG